GGTCTCCTGACAAACTCTCGTCCACCGCCGACACTGAGTACGTATATATCAGGTTTCTGTGTTATTTATATTGTTTATTATGTCATATTAGATGAAGTGAGATAGATAAATAAGCCGTAGAGTTGATAATAGCGAAATTATTGAAGTACAGAATTCCACTGGAATGGATTAATTCCATTTCAATTAGTTTAAATGAGGAAAATTGACTCTGCAAACAAGCAAATCTAGTTGCGAGCAAGGTCATGGAACGGATTAAACTCGCAAGTAGAGGTTCCACTGTACTAGGTACAAAATTTTATTTTTTCATTCAAGATGTAAGGTGGTAATGACGATGGCAAGGCGATGGAAGGCAATTGATGTGTACCTTGACGGCCACATGGAAAAACTGGCCAGTGCAGCCTCTTCCGAGGTACCTTACCTTTACCCGGCCATGGGCCAGACTCGTCTGGTGCTTGCCTGGTCAACCAGGCTGTTGCTGCTGGAGGCCCACTGCCCCACATATCCATAACAGCCTGGTTGATCTGGCACTTGATGAAGATACACCTATCATCCGACATACGACTGAGTTCTGTTACGAGAAACCGGTCGTAAGTCGAAATGGTCGTAAGTTGAACTTTACTACTGAATATCAACAAAACATTTTTGTAATAACTTTATTTTATTGTTTTATTTTGGTATTTCATGTTTTACTTTACTTTTTATGTTGTTAGTACTGTATTTTATACTGTAAGGTTTAGGATAAACACTGTGTACAACACAAATAGTTGTTTATTTCCCAGAAATTTGGCATAAAAAATACGGTCGTAAGTCGAGTGGTCGTAAGTTGAGCAGGTCTTAAGTCGGATGGTAGGTGTACTTGTCTAGTTTCCTCTTGAAGGCTTCAACACTTGTTCCAGCAGTGTTTCTGATATCTTCAGGTAAGATGTTGAAAAGTCTGGGACCCCGGATGTTGATACAGTGTTCCCTTATTGTCCCTGCCACACCCCTGCTCCTCACTGGGTTTATTTTACACTTCCTCCCATATCTCTCACTCCAGTATGTTATGGCAGTGTGCAGATTTGGGACCAAGCCCTCGAGTACCTTCCAGGTATATATTATCATGTACCTCTCTCTCCTCCACTCCAGTAAGTACATGTTCAAGACTTGCAAGCGTTCCCAGTAGTTTAGGTGCTTTACTGGCTCAATGTGAGCCAGCTCCGATATTTCTCCTGCCCTGAACGGGGCCGTCAGCACTGAGCAGTATTCTAAGTGAGGGAGCACTAGCGATTTGAAGAGTGTCACCATCAGCATTATTTCCCTTGTTTTGAAAGTTCTCAATACCCACTCAGTCATTTTCCTGGCTGTCATGATCTTTGTCTTGTTATGGTCTTTAAAAGAAAGGTCGGCTGACATAATTATTCCTAGGTCTTTTACGTGTTCCTTATGTTCTATTTGGTGACCCTCTTGAGTTTTGTATATAGTGCTCCTTTTGAGTTCTTCATTCTTTCCATACCTAAGCAGCTGGAACTTGTCACCATTGAATGTCATGTTGTTTTCCACTGTCCACTGGTGGTGCCCAACATTGATTGAATTGGTAATATTACATGATTACATGTAATAGGTAATAATGTTTAAGAGAGATCGCCAGAAATGGGTGTGTTCGATAGGAGTGAATGGAGACGAATGGTATTTGGGACCTGACGATCTGTTGGAGTGTGAGCAGGGTAGTATTTAGTGAAGGGATTCAGGGAAACCGGTTATTTTTATATAGCCGGACTTGAGTCCTGGAAATGGGAAGTACAATGCCTGCACTCTAAAGGAGGGGTTCGGGATATTAGCAGTTTGGAGGGATATGTTGTGTATCTTTATATGTATATGGTTCTAAACTGTTGTGTTCTGAGCACCTCTGCAAAAACAGTGGTTATGTGTGAGTGAGGTGAAAGTGTTGAATGATGAAAGTATTTTCTTTTTGGGGATTTTCTTTCTTTTTTTGGGTCACCCTGCCTCGGTGGGAGACGGCCGACTTGTTAAAAACAAGAACAAAAAAAATGGTTCAGGTGTTATCCAGGCATCGGGATCATCTGGTAGGTCACTCAGAATCTTTGGTTGTTGGAAATCATCCTTATGGATGAATTTACGTACCTGCTGTTGGAGGGTCATGTGTTCGGTTTTGTGGGGAGGTGCATTGATTACATAGTCGGTGGTGTTCGCAAAATAGGGAGGATGTTCACCGTCCAGAACATACAGGTCTTGCATGGCGTATAGTTGTCTCCTCTTCAGTTGATCAAGCCAAACATTCATTGCAACTATGTCCTGTTGGGTGTGTAGATCCGCCATTCATACTTCTTTTATAAGTCTTCCAATTTCCTCTTCCAAGAGGAAAACAACAGGAAATTTGTACAAATATGTAGTCTTGGAGACTGTGAAAGCTAGTGTACTAAGTGGCTGTAAGAAGGAGATCAACCCTTTCAATGTCGGCAGGCCCTTTCCTAAACTTGTTCTTAGGGTCAGAAATTTTTTGAAAAAAAAAAAATTATTTTTTCTTGTGAATTGATAGAGAATCTTTTCCCGGTCATAATGACACCAAAAATATAAAATTTGATGGAAAACTTACGGAATTATGCTCTCGCGAAGTTAGCAGTCTCGACGATGTTTATGCATGGGCGATTTCACCCACTTTGAGCCCTATTATCAGTCAATTCCCATGTACCAGTCGATAAAAATCATACCTATTTCGATAGAACTCCATTTTGTCTATCGAATGAGTACAAGAAACCACCCATTTACCGATTTCAAATAACCAATAATGTGGCCAGAAATTGGCAATTTTGCCAATTTCACACAAATTTCAAAAGATGCCAATTTCCAAATAGGGTCCAGAATAAACAAGACAGACATTCCTGGCACTAAAATAAATTTTCCTCTGATGATTACTCACGTCCCCAGGCCTCTGCTACATTTCTTTTGCTTTCCACTTTGAATTTCTATTCTCACAAAGAAGATTTATGTCATGCAGACTACTGCATTCGTGTAGAAATGGTGTAGAAATGGTATAAATAATATCAGCACACTTGTGAAAGAATATTAGACTCACCAGTTGACATGTATTGGACGCGTGGCATGATTTGTTTACCTTTGAACTTTGGCAAAAATTGAACATTTCTGCTACTTTGAGCTCAATTTCAAGGTACTTTTCATTGTGAAACTAATCAAAATCATCTCAATTTCCATAATGTATCTTCCATTCAATAAAATGAGACCAGGAAAACTAGAATACAAATATAAATAGCATTCGAAAATACACTGCAAAGTCGCTGTTTTAAACCAAAAACATGGAGTATTTTTTTCTCATTATGCACTGTGTGCTGTAGGATTTTTTTTTATGCTGCACACACTGACCACATAGACCCATTCTTTCATATGTAGGCCTACCAGCTTTCTCTTGCTAGATTTGAAGGCCCTAGAATTTATGCATACTAGTACGGCACCAACCCTGGCGTGCAAGCCGTACTAATATGGCACCAACCCTGAAAGGGTTAAGATGCTGAGATGCTGCGCTGCCCATTCATGACCCAAGTTCTCGTACAGTATACAATAACTTGTCAGAGAGCCCGTTGTAACTCAGAGCTCTCGGTAAATGAGCACGTCGATAAGTGAGGAGAGGCTGTATACTCTAGAATGAATAACATATGTCATTACGTATGTGAGGAGTGGTGCTGTGTTGTTGGGTTTATAAGGGCCACTGAGAGCATAAGCCACAATGTATGTAATTTATAAATAAGAATTATTTACACTTACTGTACCTTGGAGGAGATGCTGGCATTGGTGGAAGATAGGCGGGGCGGCAGTGTTGTCAGTGGCCCTATATACCTATATTCATATTCATATTATTTTATTTGGACGATACATAGTTGTGCAAGGAATTATAGTAGTTGGGTGTACATGCCAAAAGCCCCTTGTATGCAGAGCATTATGGGCAGGCTTAAAATTAACTTAAAATTAACAAGCAATGAAAGGTTCAGTGGTAAAAATTATTGTAAACAATTTACAATATGAAGTACAATTGAGTATTTGAAACATTGAAATTTGAACATTTCGATATTGAAGCATTATAGTTGTACAAATTTGTTGCATTACAACAACATTGGAGGAGTTATGTTTCATGTCATCTTTTTCTATCGCTTAATCGCTTAACTTACTTGCTACACTGTTAATGCTACAGTTTATCGCTGGCTGGCGCTGTAGCCAATTTTGACTCCTGCTGCTTAAATATCATACATATCGTAGAATCACTGAAGAAGGCACGTTCTCCCCTCTCTACCTCCTTCACTCTCATACTTTTCAACAACTTCTTTCTTAAATTCCATTGTGTTTCTCACTTTATTTACCAAAGGAATCATGGGGCCATGGTTACTTATTTTGCAGTTTCACTTAATAATGACCAAAAACAAAGGATTATAGCAAAATGTTTGGATGAATGAGCAGAAGCTTCCTCACTCGCAGAGAGAGACAGGGAGACTGACATGCGGGTGGGTTGATGCCTCCCATGCAGCTGATAAGCGAAATAACAGCCGATAACCAGAAGCCAAAAAAGAGCCGATAAGCGAGTTGGCCGATAGCTGAAACGGCCGATAACCAGGGGTCCACTGTATACCATACTCTACCCCTACACAGTGCTGTACTCTGTTGATGGTGTCTTGTGGTTTGGTTGACAGTGTACTCAGCTCACATGCACTGAGTATTAATGGAGTGATAACTAGCATGGGTAGAAACCTTGGGCATGTTTCCTACACCTGGGTATTTGTCAACTGTTGTGAGTTGCATCCTGGGGGATAAGCTTAAAGGACCCCAATGGAAATAAGACAGTCCCCCGATGACACTGACTTTCCTGGGTTATCCTGGGTGGTTAACACTGGGTTAAAAAAAAAAAAATTACATTATCTCCTTTCTCTCTACCCCTACACCATACCCTACCCTACACTATACCGACGCCAATATTTATATTTAAAAACATTCTTCAGAGTTGGTGAATCCTTCTTGTGTAATTGCAAGTGCCCCATCTGACCGCAATCTATCAAAACTTCGCACTTGGGGGGTGAAGACAACCAATGACAATAGTAAGTAATGCCAGCTAAGTTAATAGTTTAAAAAATCTAGTATTAATAATATTTGTAAATACTAGTTATATGGGGGAGGGGGAAAGATGCCTTGTTTTGTAGTTGAACTTTTGGATATTATCCAGAGAGTTTTTCAGTCAACATAATGATTTGAGTCTCCAGATGAATGGAATAAAAATTTCTTTAGACAAAATAAAGTTTGGCAATGATGGAATGATCACAGAGGTAATTTGCAATAATTTCACTGATTAGTATTTCACATAACTCGAGTTCATTCATTATTACAATCAAAACTAAACAGTTCATTCATTAGCACTGGCTTTGCAGTTATTATCAAATAGGTACATAAGAATAATATTGATCTTGTTATTTTTTTGTGGTGGTATTAGTAATCTAAAATGGAGGACAATCATGTGTCAACTGTAGACAGTGACTTATTGTGTTGAACATATAGTATGTATATGCTGCTAGTATATTAAGACATTATATTATGACCAGGAGAAGCATGAGTGTTTGGTTACTTGCAGAAATTATCAAAGCCTGTCGGAACTGACGAGTATCACTGAAAAAAATGAAGCTAGTAATGGATTTTAACCTTTCTTATTCAATTATTTGTTCATTCAGTAATACTATATTTGTCTCTGACTTTTAAATGGACACTAATCTATTGTACTATGATTTAAATTTACTCTTGCACTAACTTCTTCCTCCATTAACTCTTACCCGAGCATACCCGTGCCCTTCGCTCACTCTTCAGTATGTGATAGCCCTTTTAGATAGCAAGCTAATACATTATATGGACTATTTATTAACACACATTGCTTTACCTGCATTAATTCTCCTTTTTCAAGAATCTGCTCATACAGAACAATCATGAGTTGCAACTGGCTACTAAATGAATAAAACTACAGTAGTATTTGTGTGTGTGTGTGTGTGTGTGTGTGTGTGTGTGTGTGTGTGTGTGTGTGTGTGTGTGTGTGTGTGTTGTGTGTGTGTGTTGTGTGTGTGTGTGTTGTGTGTGTGTGTTAGTTACCATTTTGTCCTAGGCACATGTCGATTAGACACTAGGCCTGTTGTATTTGCGTGTGTACTCACCTATTTGTACTCACCTATTTGTGGTTGCAGGGGTCGAGTCACAGCTCCTGGCCCCGCCTCTTCGCTGATTGCTACTAGGTCCTCTCTCTCCCTGCCCCATGAGCTCTATCATACCTCGCCTTAAAACTATGTATGGTTCCTGCCTCCACCACATCACTTTCTAGGCTATTCCATGGCCTGACTACTCTATGACTGAAGAAATACTTCCTAACATCCCTTTGATTCATCTGAGTCTTCAACTTCCAATTGTGACCTCTTGTGTCTGTGTCCCATCTCTGGAACATCCCGTCTTTGTCCACCTCGTCTATTCCGCGCAGTATTTTATATGTCGTGTGTGTGTGTGTGTGTGTGTGTGTGTGTGTGTGTGTGTGTGTGTGCACGCGCGCGTGTCTGTGTGCGTGTGTCTGTGTGTGTGCGTGTCTGTGTGTATGTGTGTGTGTATGGGTGTGGGTGTGTATGGGTGTGTGTGTATGGGTGTGTATGGCGTGTGTATGGGTGTGTGTGTATGGGTGTATGTGTGTATGGGTGTATGTGTGTATGGGTGTGTGTGGATGGGTGTGTACTCACCTATTTGTGGTTGCAGGGTCGAGTCACAGCTCCTGGCCCCGCCTCTTCGCTGATTGCTACTAGGTCCTCTCTCTCCCTGCCCCATGAGCTCTATCATACCTCGCCTTAAAACTATGTATGGTTCCTGCCTCCACCACATCACTTTCTAGGCTATTCCATGGCCTGACTGTGTGTGTGTGTGTGTGTGTGTGTGTGTGTGTGTGTGTGTGTGTGTGTGTGTGTGGTGTGTGTGTGTGTGTGTGTGTGTGTGTGTGTGTATACTCACCTATATGTGGTTGCAGGGGTTGAATCATAGCTCCTGGCCCCGCCTCTTCACTGGTCGATACTAATTCACTCTCTCCCTGCTCCATGAGCTTTATCATACCTCTTCTTTAACCCTTTCAGGGTCCAAGGCCCAAATCTGGAGTCACGCACCAGTGTCCAAGAATTTAAAAAAAAAAAATTTGTTATTTTTTCTTATGAAATCATAGAGAATCTTTTTGTGAAGGTAATAAAACAAAAAGTACGAAATTTGGTGGAAAATTGACGAAATTATGCTCTCGTGAATTTTGATGTGTCAGCGATATTTACGAATCGGCGATTTTGCCGACTTTGACTCCTATTTTAGGCCAATTACATTATTCCAGTCAACCAAATTCTTAGCTATTTCACTAGTATTACTTCTATTCTATCGATTGAGCACAAGAAATCGCCAAGTCAACTGTTTCAACTATAAAATAAAGTGATCGGAAATTGTTAATTTGGCCAATTTAACACAAAGTTCAAAATATTCCAATTTCAAAATAGGGTCCAGAATGAACAATGTAGGCATTCCTGGCACTAAACTAACATTTCCTCTGTTCATTAGTTATGTTTTGAGGCTTTAAAAATAAATTCCATTTTGATTTTTTATTCACATAATGAATTTTTATTCACACCAAAAAATAGAAGATTTACTGTTATGCAATACTGTAATAATTGTATAAATATCATCACCATATTTGTTAATGTATATTAGACCCACCAGCTGTCGTGTATTAGACGTGTGAGGTCGTTTGTTTACTCTTAAATATCGGCAAAAATTTAACATTTCTGCTACTTTGAGCTCAGTTTCAAGCCATTTCCAGTGCTAAAACCAATCAAAATAATCTCTATTTCTGTAATATGTCTTCCATTCTATCAAATGAGACCAAGAAATCGCAAATACAACTATAAAAAACATACAAAAAAACACTGCAAAGTTGCTGTTTTAATCGAAAAATCATGATTTCATTTTTTTTCTCTCATTATACACAGTGTGCTGCAGGATCTGTTTTATGTGGTGCACACATACCACATAGATGTATTCTCTCATATCTAGGCCCAAATGTACCACTCACAGTTTATCAGAGTGAGCTGAGCTCATGGCGTAGATCTACGGTTTGGACCCTGAACGTAAAGCCGTAGATTTACGGGACGGACCCTGAAAGGGTTAAGCTGTGTATGGAACTTGCTTCCACTACTTCACTCTCCAGATTATTCCACTTCCTGACAACTCTAAGGCTGAAGAAATACTTCCTAACATCCCTATGACTCATCTGGGTTTACAGCTTCCGGTTGTGGTCTCTTGTTCCTGTATCCCATCACTGAAACATTCGAGCCCTGTCCACCTTGTCAATACCTCTCAGTATTTTACAAGTTATCATGTCCCCCATATCCCTCCTATCCTCTGGTGTCATCAGGTTGAGTTCCCTTAACCTCTCCTAATAAGACATACCCCTCAGTTCCTGGACTAATCATATTGCAAATTTTTGCACTTTCTCCAACTTCGTGACATGTTTGACTAGGTGAGGGTTCCATACTGGTGCTGCATACTCCAGTATAGGCCTGACACAAACTGTGTACAGTATTGTGAATGACTCCTTACTAAAATGTCTAAACACTAATCTCAGGTTTGCCAAGCACCCATATGCTGCAGCAGTTATTTGATTGATGTGTACCTCAGGGTACATGTTCGTTTTAATGCTTACCCCAAGATTGTTTTCTTTAAGTGACATTTGCAGCCTTTGATTCCCTAACCTGTACATCGTCTGTGGTCTCCTGTGTCCTTCCCCAATCTTCATGACCTTACACTTACTGGGGTTAAACTCCAGGAGCCATTTGTTGGACCAGACTTGTAGTCTGTCCAGATCCTCTTGTAATCTTAACTGATCCTCGCCCGCTTGTATTCTCCTCATCAGTTTCACATCATCAGTGAACAGTGTGAGTGTGTGTCTGTCTGTCACACCTAGCAGGTGGAAAGTTGAGCCTCTACATTTTTTGATGAATGATTGTTATTCCCTCTGATTTAGTTCTTCACAAATATAAATTAAAGTCTGCAAGTAGCTACACTGTTTATAAATGTACAGGTACCACTCGACTTATGACCGAGTTCGGTTCCAAGAAACCGGTCATAAGTCAGAATGGACGTAAGTCGAACCTTGCTACTGAATATCAACATCACATTTTTGTAATGACTTATTTTATTGTTTTATTTTGGTATTTCATTTGTTACTTTACTTTTTATGCTGTTAGTACTGTATTTTATACTGTAAGGTTTAGGATAAACACTGTGTACAACACAAACAGTTGTTTATTTCCCAGAAATTTAGCATAGAAAACAAGGTCGTAAGTCGAATGGTCATATGTCGAGCAGGTCGTAAGTCGGATTTAATGAATTTCTAAAACTGTATACAAATTTTCTCAGTTTTATATTTTGATCATTAAGTTCTTATTTTATCTAGGGGAACTAGTATTCTAATTGTTGACTCACTGTCCACAGATAAAGTTATAAAACAGTGTGATGTGATCTTTCTGTGTGTGAAGCCTCACCTTCTAAGGAAGATGATAAATGAGTTAAATACATTGGAGGCAGACCACAATCCACTCTTTGTGTCCATTGTCTCAGGTTATGATTTGAATACTTTAGAAGAGGTAAGTTGGTTTATCCAAGTTAAAATAATGTTTCTGTTGTAGCTTTCCTTTTTTTTTTTTTTGAAAACATTTGAAGAAATGCAGTTTTCAGTACAGTGGAACCTCTACTTGCAAGTTTAATCTATTCCGTGACCTTGCTCGCAACTGGATTTACTCGTTTGCAGAGTCAGTTTTCCTCATTTAAATTAATTGAAATACAATTAATCTGTTCCAGTGGAATTCTGTACTTCAATAATTTCCCTAATATCAACTCTGTGGCTTATTTATCTATCACAATTCATCTAATATGACATAATAAACAATATAAATAACATAGAAACCTGATATATACTCTACAATATGCCATTCATGTAGTGGTATCGTCATAGGACGAAAGTTTGTCTGGGGACTGGACAAAATACTTCTTGAATAATTTCACTAATATCATCTATGCAGCTTATTTATCTATTACAGTTCATATAATATGACATAACAAACAATATAAATAACATAGAAACCTGATATATACTCTAGAATGTATAAAATATGTCATTATGTACCAGGTGGAGGCGGAATCAAACATTTTTCCTACATTGAGCTCAATTTCAAGGTACTTTTCGTTGTGAAAGCAATCAAAATCATATCTCTTCTGTAATATATCTTCCATTCTATCAACCAAGACCAAAAAAATGAGGATACAACCATAAAAACCATGCAAAAATACCACTCGGGGGTGGGTAATTGCTGAGATGATTTCTTTCATTTTTGGCGTACGTCAAGAAGCATCTTTCCATCATACACTGGCCAAGTTTCAATAAGATAGCCCAACAAACAAATAAGATCCAATTCCCTAGATCAAGAGCAAGAGCCCCTCACCAACATCACGGACCCTCCCTTGAGGTCTGCTCGCTTATGGAAATTTCGGTCACGTATGGAAGCAAAAAATTAACCCATTGATTGCTCGTATTTGGAAAAACTCGCACGTGGATGCGCTCACAAGTAGAGGTTCCACTGTATTAAGAAATAAAATATAGCTGCTAAGGAAAATATATAACTGCACATTTCATTTTTTTAATTCAAGTAGTATTTCTCAATTTTTTCCCAACATGCAGTGACATTTTGCTGTCTATTAATCTTTTAACATTCCAAGGCCCCATTCAGATTGAGCTCTGGAAAGACTCCAGAACTCAGTTTGAACACAAAATTGTTAGAATTTCCCCTAACCATCAAGGAACAAATCAGATGGTTCTAGCTCCTTCTCAAGGTAAGTTAAGAGATGAGATGTGAAGCTGGCATTCCAGGACAACTACTGAATTGCCTTTGTCAGAGAAAGGATGACAATATTGGTATTAGATTTAAGAGAAGAAAGGGCAAGTTGATAGTGTTGTGGAAGGTGGTAATTCTTTGGCAACAGGCTATCAGGAGCAGGAAAGAGATTGCCACGAAAAGTGGACAGGTCAGGAAGAATACAAGAGTGAGACTGACAAAAGGAATCAAGAACTAATCAGGTTATTTCCTGGGTGAATTCAGAGGATCCTGAGTGAATTCTGACTATGAGGTTGAGGGATTTTAGAATTTGTACCTGTGTAGTCATTTCTCCCTGTTCATGGGTGTCATGATTTGTTGGTTTTGATTATCAAACTTTTTTTACTGGCTCAATGGCTTTTTTACATTCAAATCAAATTTTATGATCATTATTTTTTATGAATGTCAGTATTAACCCTTTCAGGGTCCAAGGCCCAAATCTGGAGTCACGCACCAGTGTCCAAGAATTTTCCAAAAAAAAATTTGTTATTTTTTCTTATGAAATCGTAGAGAATCTTTTTGTGAAGGTAATAAAACAAAAAGTACGAAATTTGGTGGAAAATTGACGAAATTATGCTCTCCGCGAATTTTGATGTGTCAGCGATATTTACGAATCGGCGATTTTGCTGACTTTGACTCCCATTTTAGGCCAATTACATTATTCCAATCAACCAAATTCTTAGCTATTTCACTAGTAATTACTTCTATTCTATCGATTGAGCACAAGAAATCGCCAGTCAACTGTTTCAACTACAAAATAAAGTGATCGGAAATTGTTAATTTGGCCAATTTAACACAAAGTTCAAAATATTCCAATTTCAAAATAGGGTCCAGAATAAACAATGTAGGCATTCCTGGGACTAAACTAACATTTCCTCTGTTCCATTAGTTATGTTTTGAGGCTTTACAAATAAATTCCATTTTGATTTTTTATTCACATAATGAATTTTTATTCACACCAAAAAATAGAAGATTTACTGTTATGCAATACTGTAATAATTGTATAAATATCATCACCATATTTGTGAATGTATATTAGACCCACCAGCTGACGTGTATTAGACGTGTGAGGTCGTTTGTTTACTCTTGAATATCGGCAAAAATTTAACATTTCCGCTACTTTGAGCTCAGTTTCAAGCCATTTCCAGTGCTAAAACCAATCAAAATCATCTCTATTTCTGTAATATGTCTTCCATTCTATCAAATGAGACCAAGAAATCGCAAATACAACTATAAAAAACATACGAAAAAACACTGCAAAGTTGCTGTTTTAATCGAAAAATCATGATTTCAGTTTTTTCTCTCATTATACACAGTGTGCTGCAGGATCTGTTTTATGTGGTGCACACATACCACATAGATGTATTCTCTCATATCTAGGCCCAAATGTACCACTCACAGTTTATCAGAGTGAGCCGAGCTCATGGCGTAGATCTACGGTTTGGACACTCACCGTAAAGCCGTAGATCTACGGGACGGACCCTGAAAGGGTTAACCAGATTAATATATTAAAGAGGTATGGTTTCTGAAACATAAAATGAATCTAATTCTAAAATATAATTTATGTTGAGATAAGGGGTGTCCGATATATTGCAGTTTTTTAACTGTATTGTAGGGCAAGACAGTGATGGAGTGATGATGATGAAGTGTTTTCGTCTTTGTCGGGTCACTCTGCCTTGATGGGAAATTGCTGATGTGTTAATAAAAAAAAAAATTGTATTCATGGTTTCTAGTTTCACCGAACCTCAAACATAAACCCACCTTGAATTTGAAGGAACTACTGCACACCTACTAGCTGATTTGACCTTGGGAAATACTTTTATTTTCTTAAGCAATGATAGATTATATTACACTATTATTTACATATATTAGTTTGTATATCTTATTGTTATTTACTTGTTCAGATGCTCAGCGTATTGGTACATGCTCCTCGTGTAGTTCGAACAATGCCGAACACCCCATCAATGGTTGGACAGGGATGCTGTTGTGAGTATTTTGCTTTAAATTTAATATATTTTCAGTTTTTTAGATTTAGTTTGAATGTTACATTAATACTTTTATCTTATAGAAAAAATACAGTGGATTGGCCAGTATACTGCAGTTTGGCAGTGATAACCTAAAAATTCAAACTTTTTGTTTGTTTTATTGGTGCTGCCTCATTCATAGATTAATAAAACACAATATGTGTAATAAATTAAGAAGATAGCTTGTCTGTATTGTTTTGCCATGCAGACATGAACCATAAATACATTCACCATTTGTTACACCCATCATTACTGGTTTTTTTTTTTTTGTCTTAATCATAAACATGTAAAGGCAACAGGCAAATCTTGCAAACTTGTACAGGTCGGCCATCACTAATCCAGCAGTCAGTAATACGGTTCCATCAGTAATTCAGCACTAATTTCAGCTAGCATAATTTCAAATTTCCGAGGTTGCCACACCAACCTGCTGCTACTGTTTGGTGGCGCTATTTACTGCATAAGTAACAAAAAAAGGCACAATACCGTGACTGGAACGATACACAAATAACCCGCACATAGAAGAGAGGAGCTTACGACGACGTTTCGGTCCGACTTGGGTCATTTACAAAGTCACACTAATCAGAAGTGGAGCAGGACGGCTATATATAGGCAGGAAGAGGTAGTGATGGTGGTAGTAGCAGTAGTAGTGGTGGTAGTAGTAGTAGTAGTAGTAGTAGTAGTAGTGGTAGTAGTGGTAGTAGTGGGGAACTAAGGAGGAGGAGCCAGTCAAATATAAAGAATGGGGAGCACTGCAAGGGAGCTAGGTGCCCACAGAGGGAGAGCAAGTGCACAGAGGTGGGGGGAAGGGGAAGTGATGAAATAAATAATGAAGGAACAGAAACACGCGACAGAAGAAAGACAAAAAAAAAAAAAAGGAAAGAGGAAAGGGGAAGAGAGAGAAGAAGAAAAAATGAGGAATCAGGTTAAGTCACGGGTGTTCTGAAGTTTGGAGCATTTTACAATATAGTGGGAGAGGAAGGCATCTACAGAGATGAAGCCAGGACTAAGATTCATACAAGGAAAGTTGTGTATTAGAGAGGATTCAACAAGACAGCGACTGTTAAAGTTGGAAGTAGGGAAGACAGTTTTGGCGGAAGACCAGTCTATAGGATGGCTGTGATCTCTGACGTGACAGAAAAGAGCATTGTTAGTGTCGGCAAGCCTAACACTATTTTTGTGCTCCCTAAGTCTGTCAGAAAGAGATCGGCCAGTTTCTCCAAAGTATTGAAGAGGACAGGAGGAGCAAGAAATAGAGTAGACACCAGGAACATCTGTAGAGGGAGGAGAGGTATGAACGAGATTAGTGCGAAGAGTGTTAGTCTGGCGGAAAGTAAGCTTGATGTCTAAGGGACGGAGAGAATTGTTGAGATTAGAAAGACCGGAAATGTAGGAAGGCAGAGGACAGAAGAGTTCCCAGGAGTAGAGAGTTTGGGAGAGAAGAAATTACGTTTAGCTCATGAGAAGGCATAGTCTATGAAATGGGAAGGGTAGCCAAGACGGGAAAACGAATTATGAAGAGTGGAAATTTCTGCTGGAAGGAACTGAGGATCACAGATGCGGAGGGCACGGAGAAAGAGGGAGATAAGAACACTTTTCTTGACAGGGGAAGCATGATAGGAAAAGTAGTGAATGTACATGCCACTGTGCATAGGTTTTCCTTCATTATTTATTTCATCACTTCCCCTTTCCCCCACCTCTGTGCACTTGTTCTCCCTCTGTGGGCACCTAACTCCCTTGCAGTGCTCCCCTTTCTTTATATTTGACTGGCTCCTCCTTAGTTCTCCACTACTACCACTATTACTACTACTACTACTACTACTACTACTACCACTACTACTACCACTACTACTACCACCACCACTACCTCTTCCTGCCTATATATAGCCGTCTTGCTCCACTTCTGATTAGTGTGACTTTGTAAATGGTCCAAGCCGGACCGAAACGTCTTCGTAAGCTCCTCTCTTTTATGTGCAGGTTGTTTGTGAACTGCATAAGTCATTCCAATTTCTTTTTCTCCATTTATTGCTTACTTTTAGCCCTAGCCAAGGTTCCAACGAATAAAAGAAATGCTTCTCATTGTGTAAAGTACATACACTGTACATTGTCCATAAAAGATAAGGTGGCTTTGAAGCCACTGTCAGTCACCATGAGTTAGCTCACTCAGATAAGTTGTGACTGGTAAATTTGGGCCTACATATGAGAGAATAGGTCTGTGTGGTTGTAGGTAGTAGGTTGGTAGACAGCAACCACCCAGGGAGGTACCGTCCTGCCAAATGAGTATAAAATGGAAACCTGTAATTGTTTTACGTGATGGTAGGATTGCTGGTGTCTTTTTTCTGTCTCATAAACGTGCAAAATTTCAGGTACATCTTGCTACTTCTACTTACACTTAGGTCACACTACACTTACATGTACAAGCATGTATATACACACCCCTCTGTGTTTCCTTCTATTTTCTTACTACAGTGAACCCCTGGTTATCGGCCAGTTTGGTTATCAGCCAACTCGGTTATTGGCAGGGTTTTCGACACTCGGTTATTGGCCGTTTTGGATGCATCCATCCACCGGCTGGGGCAGATTGCGCTTCAGTTGGGCTTTGTCTCTCGGTGGCTGAGGAAGCTTCTGCTCATACATCCAAACATTTCGCTTGTTTATCATTGTTTTTAGTGGTTTTTCTTGCAGTGCAACTGTGAAAAAAGTAACCATGGCTCCATGGTAAGGCTTGGGAGGGAGTGACTTCCAGGACTTTGAACTCTGCTTGGAGAAAACTGTGGCCAGATTGTGTCCAAGAGAGGGATTTTGAAGGGTTTGAGACACGCCGTGACCCTGACCCTGTGGACTCTATTGTGTCTTTGGGGAAGTCCCTGGGGTTGGAGGTGAGTGGTGAGGATGTGGAAGAGTTGGTAGAGGACAACAGGGAAGAGCTTACCACTGAAGAGCTGCAAGAGCTTCAACTTGAGCAGCAACAGACTGCAGCTGAGGAACTTGCTTCAGAGGAGGAGGAAGAGGGAGTGAAGGAGGTGCCTTCTTCAGAGATTAAAGAAGTGTGTGCAGCCATATCTGCAACATGTTTAGTGACAAAACCCTGTCCCAACTCAGGAAAATCTTAGAGACACCAGAAACAGAGCACTCTGGACAGTTATTTTGTGAGACAGGGGTCCAATGACTCTCAAGCTGGTTCTAGTGGCATTAAAAGACAGAGAAGGGAAGTAACCCAAACACTAACTCCTCCCTCTTTCCTCCTACCTATCTTCCAGAAGCCAGCATTAGCCTTCAATAAAGGTATGTAATACTTACATAATTGTAAAAAACAATTTTTTGTTGCTAATATTTTTGTTTGGAACGAATTAATTTTATTTCCATTAATTCTTATGGGAAATATTAATTTGGTTATCGGCCATTTCGGTTATCGGCCGACCTTCAGGAACGGATTACAGCTGATAACCGGGGGTCCGCTGTAGTTCTTGTTCTTGTTTATTTCCTCTTATCTCCATGGGGAAGTGAAACAGAATTCTTCCTCCGTAAGCCATGCGTATCATAAGAGGCAGCTAAAATGCCAGAGCAAGGGTCTAGTAACCCCTTCTGTATACATTACTAAAGTTAAAAAGGGAAACTTTTTTTTTTTGGGGGGGGGTCAGTCTGCCTCGTGTGATACAGCTGGTTTGTTGAAAGAAAGAAGAAAAGGACTGTGTGGTAAGTGTGCACTACAGGTGGCCCTCCACATTTGCGAGAGTTAGGGAATCAAGAACCTCGCGAATCTTGAAAATTCACGAATGTTTGGTGTGCAAATATGATGTAGGGAAATGTAATAATACTGTACTGTAGCGTTCGCGAATGTTTTGATGTGCAAATATATTGTAGGGAAATATAATGCAGTGGAACCTCTACTTGCGAGTTTAATTTGTTCTGTGACCTTGCTCGCATCTGGATTTGCTCATTTGCAGAGTTAATTTTCCTCATTTAAATTAATTGAAATGCAATTAATCCATTCCTGTGGAATTCCAGGCACGACAAAATACTTATTTATCTATCACAATTCATCTAATATGACATAATAAACAATATTAATAACATAGAAACATGATGTATACTCTAGAATGAATGAAATATTACGTATGTGAGTAGTGTTAGTGGAGGCGGCACAATGACCTTTGCTGTTGTTGTTGGAGTGTATAGGGCCACCACGGTGGCCATTCCTACATACCTTCACATGCTTTTATTATAACAGAGTAGGATGCCGTGGTCTACTGTGTCAAACACTTTTCTTAGGTCAATAAAAATTCCTAGCGGATATTTTTTATTTTCCAGTGCTGTGTAAAGCAGGTCTAGCATTTTTATAATTGCATCATTAGTGCTTTTATTTTTCCTGAATTCAAATTGGCAGGGGTTGAGTATGTTTTGCGACGTTATAAATGAATATAGTCTCCTGTGCACGAGTTTCTCGAAGATTTTGGATAGCAATGGTAAGTTTGATATTGGCCTGTAGTTGTTTACGTCTGTAGAGTCACCACCTTTATGTATTGGTGTAACCCTTGCTGTCTTGAGTAGTGTCAGGAAAGTGCTAGTTTCATGGGCCGCTCGCTTGTACAATAATGGTGGGACGTGAGACAAATTCCCCGAGTTATTTTTAAGTGACTTTATGATCGCGGTGAGAAACACACATAATTTATGAAAAAGTTTGTAGAAAAATACAAAGGTGGTGGTGGTAGAGTGGAAGCAGTTGTGATAGTGGTTGATGATGGTAGTGATGGTGGTAGAGGGTTCTTTCTTTAGTGATTCAGCGATTCTACCAACTCCTCCAATGTTGTTGGAGTTATATAGGGCTACAGAAAACACCGCTGCCTCAGCTGCTGCTTCACCACCATTATGGATGGCTTACTCTCAGTGGCTCCTATATACCCAACAACACAACACAACACCTGTAGATGAATGGTTCAGAGAACCGACATGTTGTTAAATTAG